GTCAGGCAGGAAGCAACATGTTTTTTAAAGATTAATTTTAGTCATAACTTGAGAAAGGAAAGTGCTACCTGCACAAAATTTGAACGTTGTAAAAGATAGGTAAAAATCAATATTTTTACAGACTTTTTAGGGATGTTAGCCATATCGTTACACATCCTTTCACATGTACGACGTTCAAATTTCGTGCAGCTAGCACTTTCCTTTCTCAAGTTATGACTAAAATTAATCTAAAAAAAAGTTACTTCCTGCCTGACTCGACCAAACCCACCGCTGCCTTGGGACATCTCCGCCCACATCAAGACCTCCGCCAATCACAAGCAGGGACGTCTCCGCCCACATTAAGACCTCGGCCAATGATGATTTGGGCTGTCTCCGCCCACATTAAGACCTCGGCCAATGATGATTTGGGCTGTCTCCGCCCACATTAAGACCTCGGCCAATGACGATTTGGGCTGTCTCCTTCCACAGGACAACACGTTCTTTTTTTTCTGAGCATCTYCTTTTTTTMCAACTACAATCAGAAGTCTTCAAATATTTTCAATTTTTCAAATCCATTCCATAGAGACTGTGCATTCTTACATTTCATTCGTTTTAAAGCAATTAAATAATTTTCAACAAGATGTTTTTTAAATACACTCAAGATAGGCTTTACTTTTTTCCATTTACAGCAATGAATGAWATATTTTGACATCAGTAGTAAACYGTTTAAAACAGTCTGATTGTGCATCCTTCAAGTTCAATCCAAATATTATGTTGTCCAGAGTAAGTGTGTCCTGTAGCTGGATCTTTGTAGAAAACCAGTCCAGAAAATCCTCCCAGAAGGTTTTTGTGTAAATACATTGATAAAAAGGATGATCCGTCGTTTCGATGTTGGATTCACAAAAAATACAGTTGTTATGGTCAATATTAAATCTCATTCTCAGCATTTCATTGGATGGATAAACTTCATTCAAGANATCTTACACATTCTGAAAACAAGATGATTATTCTTACACAATCAGTCTTGTTTAGTAAATCAGTCTGAAAACAAGATCAAAAAGACTTTTTGGCTGATATAAGGTTTTAAAACTTGGTTAGATGGACAGTTTTTACAGTTTTTACAGTTTTTGGCTGATATAAGGTTTTAAAACTTGGTTAGATGGACAGTTTTTTGCAGTGTAGTTATTTTTTTTTCTTTTTTCTACCTGGATTACTGAGATGCATCAGGACCTGTTGATAAGTGCTCTTTCATCAGTTCAGGACAAGTTGTCAGAACAGCTCTGGTGGGACCTCCAAACACCTCAGTGTCCAAAATCTAAAACTAAAACTAAAACAATAAATGTGTTGTTCAGTGGAGACAGTAAAACAGTCCAATGTTTCTGAGTGTTAGTATAAAATAAAGTGTAAAACGAGTAAAAAGAGCGCAGATGTAGCTGAGGCCTGAGTTATGAAACAGAACAGTTGTCGTATTAACAACCTTCCAGACGTCAGGAAGATAAAAATAGGGTCTGTTGTCAGAGAGACAGGTGGGCTTGACATCTTCACAAAACTAGGTGGGCTGTAAACAGACACCCACCATAAGCCACAGACTCTCCAGTGCCCATACAGAGAGGGCAAGAGGGGCCGAGAGAGACCTGAGAAAGATGCTGCTTTTCTTCTTCTCACACAGCCCAACATACACCTGATCCTTCACCCACAGAGAAGGGAGGTCACACAGCACGAGTGTCCAGGCACTCCAACACTGACAAAGTCAAACAACACAAATGTACAGTTTTTAACCAGAATTAATATTTAGGAAAGACTGGTTGCACCTGTCCCTTCTTTTTGGCAGAAATAAATGATCCTGACTGCACACACTTAACCTTTTGAAACCCTTGTCCAAAAATTAAAAAAAAAGGACATTTTTGTAAACTGGACAGCAGCCAAGTCATGTTAGGTTCTGTTAGAAAAACTGTTGCATCATTTATACACTTATTTTACTTCACTGCAAAAACTGTCCATCTTACCAGGTTTTAAAACCTTATATCAGCCAAAAAGTCTTTTTGATCTTGTTTTCAGACTGATTTACTAAACAAGACTGATTGTGTAAGAATAATCATCTTGTTTTCAGACTGATTTACTAAACAAGACTGATTGTGTAAGAATAAT